CAAGGAAATAAAAAAATGACCAAACTGCTACCTTCATACTAGTGAATAGTACTCAGCAGTGAAAAGGAACACGTTTCTGATACACACAACATCCAGGACGATCTCAAACACATGGTGAGTGAAGAATGTTTACAAAAAGTTATGCCACTTGACTGTGTGGCGTTCTAGCACAGCAGAAACTAATCTATGAGAAAAATGACAACAAAGGTGAGAAGATTAACTGGGAAGGACAGGAGCAAATGAACTGAGTAATGTGATGGTGGTGTTTTACAATCTAATGAGTTTGCGCTACACAGGTGTAGACATTTATCAGTCTATCCAATGGTCCACTCAAGATTTGTGCGTTTACAATTCTAGCTACTGGCTAGCCTGCTTAAGAACTTAAAGCGATGGGTACTAATGTGTCTAACTTAATTTACATGCATCCTCCTAAAAGAAAGAGACAGACCAATGGATACATAAATGGAGCCAATTATGATATATGTAAAACCTCAGTAAAGCGTACAGTTTTTTCAATCTTTCTGCACCTAAAAATTCTCATAATTAAATGCTGGAAAATTTGACTCAGTCGAGTCAGCTAAAGAAAACAAACTACCTGGTTAAATCTAAGTATTCAAAGGCTGGAAAAGAAAGAGAAATTTTCCTACTTTTTCAATTGCCAATGATTTTATGACTTGGAGAAATTTCTCAAATGGTAAAAAACATTCTATTTTTAAAAGACAGAACACTTTAGGGATCAGCTGTTACTTTTGTAAATTCACAAACTTCTCTATAATAACACTTTGTTATTGCAATTGACTTCAATTGCAGGACATGGAACCCAAGGCCTTATATGTGCTAGACAAGGAATCTACCCTACCACTCTGTTACACCTTCAGCCCCTAATGTAAACAGACTCTAATGTTCTAATTCATCAACTACCTATAACTCTTCATAGAACAAAACATGTTGAGCAATATGTTATGGTAATGGCTTGACTTAATAAATTCTTTATACATAACAGCATTAGAGGAAATACTGCTCTAATTACCCATTCTTTCGAATGACTTTTACAGTTATTATGAAGATGAATAATTTCTCTATTTCTTAAGTATTTTCTTATAAAATACTCATGAAATAGAGTAAATCAAAGTCCAAAAAGGTAGAAAGCCTTGCCCCAACAGATACACCATCCACAAGAAGAATGAGATTTAAAAATCAAGATAACACCAACTCCAATCTGCTTTCTACCATGCAAACACCACCTGACCCACCAAACCTCACCATCTGTGACAAGTCATGTACAAAATAATTATAGCAAGATAAACACAGTTTAGTAACATAAGGGAACCTTAAATGATGATGAGAGTTTAGGTAATTTTTCTTGATTTTCGCTACTCAGAAGTTCTTTAATTGCAGAAACTACAAATTCCACCTTTGAAAGTACCCAAAAAAGCTTTGGATACTAAAAAAAAAAGTTTGAATTATATATAAAAGGTCGTAAGACTCTTCTCAACTCAGTGTAGAACCTCTCCATAGATTTAGACTCTGTAAATCCCAGCTCACCTATCTCCTAAGGGCACAAAGCAAATCTTGAGAGGACGTAGGGTTTGGGATTAAAAAAAAAACCTCCAGGGATACCTCGGTAATTCCTCATTACATGGAAAAAATACTGGTATTGTTATATCTGATTAAATATTTTCAGCAGCAAAAGTATATCTGGGTGCTTATCAATAACACATGATTTTTACTGATGGTAATAAAGATTACCGGTGGTCTTGAGAAAAAAAGAATCTATACACATACTGAATAAAGTCCCTATCACTTGTAATTATTATGAGAAGAGCATATAAATAATAACCTATGGCTAAGCCCAGCACTTGGGAAACTGAAGTAGGAGGGTAGCCAGTTCGAGGCCAGCTTGGGCTACATAGTGAGTTCAAGGCCAGTCTGAACTACATAATGAGACTCTGTCTCGAAAAAAATCAAAAGAAATAAATAATAATCTCTGGCTAGCTAACATTTTAACCAGGAATGTTACATTTTTTTTCAGATAATCTATCTGCCTCAATACTACAGTATCAACGTATTTCCTAAAATGCTTACAGATCCTCTTTGCTGGTTTTCCCCAAGTAAGATCCATACCAGACAAACTTCTAAAAACAAAGTTTCCTAACAATTCTAATGCTTCCAACTACTTAACTATCCCCAGGCTAGATTTTAAATTCCTTAAAGGCCAAGCTGAGTCTTGTTCATTTCCAATCACTCACTTAACATCAAATTACCTCTACGTGGCTGGAATAGATCTCAATTCTGAAAATACAACAGTGAACAAAATAAAGCCCCTGCCCTAACAAGGTAAAAAAAAAAAAAAAATTAAACAAGTAATATGCATACCAGTTAGTGATACATACTTTTTTTTTTTGGTACCGGGGATTGAACTCACAACCTCACCCTTGCAAAGCAGGCGCTTATGCTGCTGAGCTAAATCCTCGGCCTAATACATACTATTTAAGAAAGAAGAAGAAGACTGCAGAGTGCACCAAGAGTTTACAAATTGGTGTTGCTCAACAAAAAACACAGGAAGTCAGGAAAAGCCTCATACACCAGAAATCTGCACTAAGTAGGGCACGCCACACAGATATTGGGAAGAATCACCCAGAGGGAAGAGTTAAGCAAATGCCCCAGGGCAAAAATATACTTGGGACACTGAGAAAGCAAATACGTGTACAGTTGAGGATACACTGTCAGAGACATAAGGAAAGACTGCTTCTGAAGGCAGAAGAGAGGTATGATCTGAAAGACTTACTCAGACTTCTGATGGAGAATAAAGAACAATGAACACAGTGAATCTCACTGGAACACTCTATTAAGCCAGAATAGAAAAATGGTGGCCTCAACCAACAGTGGTGACAGTAATGCGTGGTGAAAATGAGCTAGAGTCTAGCTAGGTTTTGAAGATAACCACCAGCTAGGTTTGCTGATGCACTGATGCACTGGAGACGAAGAGAGAAAAGTCAAGGAAAGCTTTTTAAAGATTTGAGAAGGGCTAGGATATGGTTCTGCGGCACAAGGCTTGCCTAGCAATCTGGAGGCCTTAGGTTTCATCCCCAGCACGATGGGGAAGGTGGGATGGACACTGTGAAACTGCCATTAAACTAAAAAATAAAGTCACAGTAGCACTATTATTTTCTCACTTCCAGCAAAGTAGTAAACAGCAGCCCTTCAAATATTTACGATTTAAATTTAACTCATAGCATGCATGGGAGTGGTGCCACACACCTGCAAGCTCAGCACTCAGGAGGCTGAGACAGGAGGATCAGATCAAAGTGAGCTGCATGGCAAGACTCTGTCTCAAAAAAAAAAAAACAAAAACAAACAAAAAAAAATTTAACTGATACACTCCCAAAATAAGTAAATTCAATGCATTGGTTTCCATTTGGTCTAACATTCTTTCAGTAGTGTTTGTCAATTACACAAAGAGGCTTAACCATAATCACAGTTTACTGTAGATGCTAACACAGAAATCTTACACACTGACACAGCAACTACTAATCCCAACAGTTCAAGAATCATTTTCCATTTTAAAGCTACAACTCTCCTGGATAGAAGAGAAATCTGCTTTGAAAACTTCCTGACAGCCTGAGGATTCTTACACCCAAAGTAATTAACCTGTTCATGAATGATGTCATATTCCTGGAAGGTATAGTGGTTCTATTAGAACTCCCTAGGCCAGGATTAATTGAAATTATAACACTTCATGATAAATTTTCAGAAAGCGACAAGACTCAACAAGTCCACTAATAAGCTTTTATAAATAGCTGTGTAAAGCTCAAACAGTAAGTTCCTTCAAAACAGTTTCAAAGAAAAACTGGAATCTGCTTGAGAATGTGAAATTTTGCACATCTTCCCCCAAGCAGGCACTTTTTCTGCCAATAAAGCTAAGTGCAACTGTGCGTCACCGAGGGAAGAATTGGTTGTCCTCACGTTTGGCGCTTCTCACAGTTGTACAGTACAGTACTCCGGGATTTTCCAACCCAGCACCCTTACTCTAGGCATAAAGAAATTCTCTGAGAATAAAAGGTTACTATGCTATTTTCCTACTTTCGGTTACCTGAAAATTTTAACTAAGATTTTTAAGTATCATTTCTCTTCCACACCAGTTTCCCTACCGCCCCACTATAACTTACTGTGTTGTTTATTTTCATGCATTACAACTTTAAGGGAAAATACGCTTTAAAACAGTCATAAAAGCTGGTCGTAGTCGTCAGCAACAGGCAATCCGATACTTTCCTTTTCCCTATCAAAGGCCTCGAACCAACCCAAGCAAATCTGAAATGCCAGCCAGATTCCCCCTACCTCCCTGGCTCCCTCACCTCCCCCTGACGCCGGCCTGGAAACATCACAGCCACCGACCACAGAGCTGAACAGAAAAAGGACCGGGGGTGAGCAAAGCAATGATTTCGACAGGCACTGACAGTTACGGGCCAGGTTTACAACCACCACCGAGAAGCGCGACGGAGCGGGGACGACGCACACACCGCCGCCTTCCAGGCAGAGCGCGCACATCCTCTCCCCGCCCGGGGCTGGACGCACGGGGGAGCCGCGGGGAGCGCCCGAGATGCCCGGGTCCCGAGCGCAGGCACGCGCGCGCCGGGTCCGAGCCACGCGGCGAAGCCCGGGAGGAGCGAGCCGCTCGGCCCTCCGCGGACCAGGGCGGGCAGGGCGCGAGCGCCCGCTAGGGTCCCCACCGGGGGTCAGGCTGCGGAGGCCACAGGCTGAGGACCCCTGGGCGGCGGCCTAGGGATCCGCTGTTCCCGGGGAGCGGGCGGGGACTCGGGGGCGGAGGCGCGGGTTGCTGTTGACTCGTTTCTCGCCGAAATAGGGGAAGCCCGAGAGGGAGGCGAGGGGAGCGGCGTGGGGGAAGGGAGCCTGACGCCCGGAGGCTGTGGCGCCCGGGGGCGAGGGGACGCAGAGCCGGGGCTGGGGGCGAGGAGGGGTCGCCCCGCACCCACACTCACCATGTAGAGGGTGAAGGGCAGGCCGAGCAGAAAGAGCCACAGGTAGAGGTGCAGCGCGTTCACGAAGGTGGCCTGGTGCGGGTCGTAGTACCAGCCCCCGCTGAGCGCGGCCCACACCCCCTGCCGGAGGATCTGCAGCGTCTGCGACCCCATCCCCACCCGGCGCCGCCGCCGCCGCCGCCGCCGTCCCCGCCCGGGCCCCAGCTCGGCCTCGTCGCCGGAGCCTGCAGCTGCCCCGGCTGTCTATCCCCCTCCGCAGCTCCGGGCGAGCGGGCCGGCGCCGCGGCAGTCGCTACTGCTGCTGCAGGAGGTGGAGGCAGCGAGCCGGGAGGAGGAGACCGAGGAGGAGGAGGAGGAGGCGACGGCGAGTGGCGGGGCGGAGGAGGGCGACGAGGAGGAGGAGACCGGCCTCCACAGCACCGCCGCCATCTTGTCTCCTAACACTAGGCGCCCGAGCCCGGCCCGCGGCTCGCGCCACTCCCGCCGCCGCCACCCCTGCCGCCGGCGGGACCCCCGCCGGCCGCCAGCCTGGGCCTGGCGGAGCCGGCGACCGCTGTGCCTAGAGGAACGCGGAGGAAGCCGCGCCCCCGCCGGCTCCTCCCCTCGCGTTCCCCCGCCTCTGACTGGGGCCCGCGGGTGCGCGCTGCGCCTGGGTGGCGTGGGCGCCTCCTGCAGGCGCACGGGAGAAGGGCGCGCGGCCGCGGCCGGGGGCTGCGCGGGACCCGGTGACCCCGTGTGGGGTTCCCGGGGGACCCCAATCCCGCCCCTGGTGACGAACCTGGCCATTCTCTTAGTGACTGAACTGGGGCTTTCTAACGCCCAAATCTGCTGAATAGGCTTTGTCCTCAAAAAAGCATCCTGGCTGATGTTTGTGGCATTAAAGACCTGGAACGGTTGAGGCTAAAGGGCAGGGAGAGTTAGGTGCGGCCGGCTGCATCGCTGAGAAATCACAAACGCGCACAGTTTGTACGGGAACTTTGTAGGCTCGTGGAGCCTGGCCAGAGGCGACGGGGGGAGGGGGGGTGGCACATCCAGAATTGCAAGGATTTACTGCTTCCAAAGAGACATAAATTGATAGAAGTTGAAAGAGATATAAAAGTACGGAGCAGACAAGTTATCTTTTGTGAACCATGACTATTTTTAGTAGCCATTTTTATCAATGGGCCAATCTAAACAGGGTTGAAATATTAACTGTGGCTCCACCTCAAGTTACAATAGGGTCTTGTACTTCTTTTTATAGCTGTGAAAACTGGAAATCATTCTTGGCTCTGTGCATGTCTGATCTCATTGAGTGAAATTCTTTTTAAAATAGTACGAAGGTTGAGTTTATTAGGCCAGTAAAAATACACCATATTACCAGGTTAAAATTGCTGTTATTAGGGAAGCATGACAACGAAAGAAACTGGTGGCATTTTAATTAAGAATAATACCGGAAAATGATCGCGGTACTTCCGAATAGCATGCTACATTATAATGCACAAATATTTCATCAACGATTTCATCTGACCTTCACAGTACTGCTGTGAGGCCAGCATAGACAGACTGTTCTAATTTTGTGAATAAGGGGTCCTGCCTATACTTGAGGAAATGAAATAATCGTGCAAAGTAGTAAGAGGTTGAGAATTCTGACAGAAGCAGTCATCCGTACCATATAGAGTAAGATTTTAAACTGTATTTTTTTTTAGCTCTCTACTTACCCACTCGGATAAGAGTTTGAACAGATACCAACTTCTGGCTACCTGTGGTTACCTTAAATATATGACCACTTGTTCTCAAAGTGAATTTGGGGGACATCACTAAGAATTGTTAGAAACTCCAAATCTCAAATGCCACTGCTGGGAAATAAGCACGTAGTGTCCAGCAATCTGTTTTAACAAGCCTTCCAAAGGATTCTAGGAGACCTTCAAGGTTGAACTCCCACTGGAGAAAAGCCTTGATTTATTTTTTTTATAACCACAAAGCCATCAAGTCCCTATGACATAAATATCTTAAAACTGAATAAATACTGGCCAAAATATATTTCAAAATATATATCTAGAAGTAAAATTGAGATTGAAGAATGCAATGTTATAATTAAAATAGGGGCCTTGTGGCTTGGTTACAGACATAAAGTATTATCAAATTTTAATTTGTTTCTCCTAAAGGAGACAGGAAAGCTCTAGGAGGAGATTTTGGATGTGATCCCAAGCTTTCCCACACAAAGAAAGATGTAAACAAGGATAACATTCCAGTACCACATCAGTTTCCACACCAGCAAACATCCGCTGTGGTTTAATATGAAAGGATTAAGTATTAAGGGTAAGATTAAGGATGAGGTAGACTGGGAGAAATGGAGTCTCGAACTAGATACATCCATGGAATGAGAGTCAAACCCAGCTGGCCTGATAAACGTTCAGCCAGAAGACAGTGTCTGAAGAATATGGAACTGGCAGCAAGCCAGAAAATCAGCTAGCAGCAGGCTGGTTGAACAGAGAATGTGAGCATTGTAAACCAATGGACAGCTGGAACAAAGCCTTGGGAAATCCAAGAGCAAGCAAAAACGAAGTCATGGCAAGCATTGAGAAAATACGTTGCATGTAACAAGGCCACAGCGTCATTGCTGGGCTTTTCCAAGTCCAAAATCAGGGCCTTGAGCAGATAAGCTAGATAATTTAGGGGACTTAGGAGATGATTATCCAAAGGCTGATCTAAGGTACTGTACTAGTTATTTTTTTGTTGTTGTTGTTGTTGCTGAGATAAAGCACCCAATGCCCAAAGTTAAAGGGGAAAGGGTTTATTTAGCTCACAGTTTTTAGAGGTTTCAGTCTGTAATCAGCTGGCTCCAAGGCAGGGTGGCACATGTCAGAGGGGCAACCATTCAAGGCAGCTAAAGCAAAAGCGATGGAGGGCAGGGGGATAATAAGCCTCTTTCTGTCACTTATGTTGTGTGGTGGCTACTTGCCCTAGGACCACGAATCAATCACAAACTCCTTATTCAGCCACTTCTGAAAAGCCCGTGCCCCACTCTCCCCATGACTGCATGAGGCTTTGGGGGACATCTAGATACAAACAAATAACAGGACAAAGTGACACTTGAAAAAGTAATAGCTTAATACCTAGAAATGGGACTGAATTTCACACTGAGCATAGTGGCCTTATGCTGAGGCTCCTGAATCTTAGTACAGAACTCTAATTCCCATCTAGTGTGGCTGGGCTCGATTCCAGAGCCCAGGTTTGAAAGTCAAAGGGCAACCAACAGCCAACAGTCAGTGGGTTAAAGAGGGCCAGCAAGATGGGTAGGTCCAAAAAGTAGAACTAAGGCATTTGCAGACTACCTCTTTCAGTTCTGGACTGGTAGAAGCATTTGGGGGAAATTCTAATTAACTAAAGGAGTTAGCAAATTGAAAGAATCCAAAGAAAAGGCTGACCTTTCCAAATGGCTGACTCAGTCATAGGGTGGGGGAGGTTCCTACAGTGGCTTTTATCTGCAGCTTTCAAAAATGTTTATGAATGCTGCCATGACAAGCTTCCTATTTATAGAGAGGTTAAAAGGTTTGCCCCCAGGTAACCCATTTTGTCACACACATAAAATGTAAAAGCAGGACAAAAATTAAGGCAAATCTAATTTGCTAAGTGTTAACCCTTCATCCAGGCATAAAAGTCATCAATAATGTTATACTTACCATGTCAAAGTCAGCAGCCATGACATACTACCAAACCACCAGTGACATTTGCTCATCTTTCAGCTAATCCTATTAAAATTATGTTTCCTGTCTAGCACATGGGTCCCCTGAGGACTGGGAATGCTCTGCAGCAGATGTTCTTTCCTGCCTAAAGGGACAATGCTGAGTGCAGAAAACTTTCTGATAACCCCACCCAAGCCTACCTGGGACCAGAGACATACATACATACTGTCAGGTATGTGGTGGCAGTTATCTGCCCAAGACATCAGGGCCTGCATGCGCTGACAACTCAAAGGTGCATGTATCTATGTCTTTTCCCAAACCAGCCTCTCTTCATTCTTCTAGTGAAACCAACATTTTCCAACTGGCTCAGGCTTGGATTCTCATGGACCCTCCTGCATGGTCTGGACTCCAGTAGTCTGTCTTCTGCTCTGCCCTTCCTTTATGTGGCCAAATCAGCTGTCCTGGTACGTGCCCTCATTCATTCATGCCCAATAGCTTCCCTGCTACCAGGCTCTCCTCTTCAAACCTTTCCACCTTCCACTGGGAGTAAATTAATCCTCCTAATCCACCTTTCTTTAAAGCCTTTAATTCTTTTCAGCTGCATATAAATAAAGACAGGCTCCTTAGCCAGATATTCAGGGTGCCCACAACCCGAATCACCTTTTTTGCTAATGTAACTGCCTTACATAAACCCCTGGGATTCCCAACTTTCGGCATACCCACTTATTGATTTGGTTTTAACAGCTCGCTCATTATTAGTTTCAACTTTGTGCTCTTATAGACACTAAATATCATACTCCTGATTCATCTTTTTCTACTTCTTTCTTTTCTTGTTTTTGTTTGCTTCTTTGTTCTGAGGCGTGAACCTAGGTATCGCTGAACTATATCTCCACCCCTTTTCACTTTTTGAATTTTGAGACAGGGTCTCCCTGAGTTCCCCAAATTGGTTTAGAACTTGACCTTCTCGATCCAACCCCGTCTCTGGGATTACAAGCCTTTGGCACTGCATCCAGCTTCATTCATGTATTTTCCAACGGTCTTCCACATGCACATGTTCTCTCAGTTAACACTTGATTTGTACTATTTTATATCTCTCCCACGGAACTGTGGGCAGCCACTGCTCTGATGCCTCATGTGACCAGCATGAAAGCTGGTGACCAGATCAATCTGACACAATTTAAAAAGTTGCGTAAAACAAGAAACCAATGACTTTCCACCTAGAGATTGTAAATTGTTTTATTCATTTGGCATTTGTTTGGTTGTTCTTCAACATTTAAAAGCATTTCACCAGTTTAAAAGATAAATTCAAGAAGGGGAAAAATATGAAACGAAAGTGAAGAGAGGGGGGGAAAGAAAAGGCCTAGAGTTCATCTCTGGTTTTCTTTTCAGCCACTTTCTGAATACAACCTTATATAACAGCAGGAAAATGTCAAAAGAGGGTTAGAAAACCTGGTGTGATGGCACAAGCATGTAATTCCACCTACTCAGGAGACTGAGACAAGAGGATCAAAAAGGATCAAAAAATCTGGGTAATTTAGGGAAACCTTGTCTCAAAAATCAAATTAAAGGGCTGGAGATGTAGCTCAGAGGCTAAGCTCTTACCATGCTTGCATGCGGCTCTGGGTTCAATCCCCAGTAATGCAAAAAAGAATAAAGAAAGAAAAAAGAGGGATGTGAGGAGATGTCTTAAAACTTACATAATTATAAAATACTACTCTTTAGATATAGAAGTAAAAATAAAAGGTTTTCTTACTACCTAGGAGATGATTCTTATTGGAAATCTCAATTTAGTCTACTTTTTTTCCCAAGCTACTTTTTAAAAAATGTCTATTCCATGTGACAAGTACTCTAAAATGTTAATGGACACTAACTAGTTCAGTAATTTCCATTATGGTTTTATATCATCCTAAGAGAATCTTCTGTTATATCTCAAAAAACCAATTAACTTTTCTTAAATTGACTCACAACATTTTCAAAGCAGAAAAAGAATGGGAAGGAAAAAAATTTATAGCATATTTCAAAATTCCCTGAAAGGTGTCCAATGTACTTACCTACCTCATATCAAACAGTTTCTCTCTCTGTCTCTTTTCTCTTCCCATTCCTTTCACCATAGTTTTCAGGATTATTGAACCCAGGACCTTCACAGTGAGCCACGTCTCAAATCCTTTTAATTTTTTTTTAAATAGGATCTCCTTTCATGGCAAGTGTGAGATTGTGGGTTCAATCCCTGGTCCAATAAGTAAATAGCCGGGGATTTAGCTCAGTGACATGAGCTCCTGCCTGCCAGATTGCTAGGTTGTGAGTTTGATCCCTGGTACCAAAATAAATGAATAAATAAATAATAAAATAGGGTCTCATAAAGTTCCTAAATTGCCTGATCTGGCGTCAATCCTCCTGCCTCAGCGTCCCAGAGTGCTAGGATTACAGTTTGTGCTACCATGCTAGGCTTACCTTTCTGTTCCAACCAAGATAGCATTACTTCCAGCAGGACCTATTGGCTGATAGGGTAGTGTTCTCTAGAGTTTACCCAGTCTGTTAGTAGCTAGCAGTGTCATCTGGATCATTTGTCTGTTCAGTGCAAAAATGAGTCACTTCTGGAGGCTGTCCCTAACAGGACATTATGGTTTGTGTCTAGATCCTCCTCAAAGCCACACACCATCACAGGGTTTTTTCAGAGGCAGCTGGGTCTAGAGTATGTGATGGATTCATTGTGCAATGCTGGGATTAAGGGTGTGGGATTAAGCATGGATGGATCGATGGATGAATCCACTGATTGGACTGGCACCACCCTAATCCCAGTAGACTGCATATAGTATGAAGGGCAGAAAGAGGCCTATCTCAGTCTCCCTTGTTGCTTTTCCCGTTTTCCACCGCCATGAACAGTTGCCCCTCTGCCATGTGCCACACTGCCTTGAAGCCAGTGGATTACGGACTGAAACCTCTACAGACTGAGAACTGAATAAACCTTTCCTCCCTTAACGTTGGGAATTGGGTACTTCATCTCAGCAACTTAATTAACTAAGACACAGGATATTTGAGAAAACTATAGAAGGTATTGCCACAGAGTAAGAAACAGACTTAGTTTTCATTGTACTGTATATCATTTGTATTTCTCTAAAATTTAAATGATGCATATCACTCATTTTTAAAAGTAATAACTTGGGAACTAACACAGATTTCTAGGTTCTGTCTAAAACCTGCTAAATTGAAAACTCTCATGGGGCCAAGAGACTTGCATTCTTTAATTAATTAAATTTATTAATATATTTTAGGTATACATAATGATCACATTCATCACAGGGAATTTGTAACTGAACATGATATGTCTTGATTTTCCCCCTCCTCCACCTTTGTTTCAACCCCTCTTTTCCTTCTTATTGACAAAAGCTTTGTTTCTGTTTTTTCTTTTCTTATTTTTCCCATACTTCCTTCCCCCACCCTCTCTAGTTTCCCTTCCCATTTGAACATTTTCTGCCTATTTCACAATGTCTGTTACACATTTTAGTCCTCATTTACACTTTCCGTTTTTTACTCCAGAGAAACAATGCAATATTTATACGTGTGTGTTTGATTTTTTGTTGTTGTTGTTGTCTTTTTATCGGTACCAGGGATCGAACTCACGACTGCCTGCTTACAAGGCAGGCGCTTATGCCGCTGAGCTAAATCCCCAGCCCCCGTGTTTGATTTATTTAACTTAAGAGTATTGTCTCAAGGTGTATGCATTTGCCTGGAAATGCCTCAAGTTTATCCTTCTTTATGGCTGAGTAGTAGTCCACTGTAGAAAAAACCCCACATCTTCTTATCATCAGTTGATGGGCACTTGGGTTGTTTCCAAGAGTGAGTTATTGCAAACTGTGATGCTATAAACATAGATGTGCACATATATCTCTGAGGTATGATGCTTTTTAATTCTTTTGGGAAAAACCAATAAGGAGAATAGCTGGATAGAATGGAACCTCTAGTATTAGTTTTTTGAAGAATCACCAGCTTGGGGTCAGGGATTTAACTCAGTGGCAGAAGCACCTGCCTGGCAAGTGCAAGGCTGTTTGATCCCCAGTACCACAACCCAAAAAAAAAAAAAATCACCACCCTGATTTTCACTGTTGTTGTACCAGTCTACACTCTTACGAACTGCGGAGAAGAGTTCATGTTTCCCAACAGCCTCACCAACATTGATTTCTTGATTCTCATTCTTTCTGGGGTAACATTGAATCTCATGTTGTTTGAATTTGCCTTTCTTGAATGACCAATGATATTGAACATTTTTTCATATATTTACTTAACTGTTTCTACTTCTGAGAAGTGTCTATTCACTTCAGATGCCTATTTTTTGACTGGATCTTTAAATTTGTAGGGAGGGTCTGATTTTTTTTTGAGTTCTTTATATATTCTACATAGTACTCCTTTGAAGAATTACTGGCAATTTTTTCCCCCATATTGTAGGTTGTCTCTTCACTCTGTTGGTGGTTTCTCTTGCTGTGCAAAAACTTTTTAATAAGATAAAATCCCAGCCAGGCCTGGTGGCGTACACCTATAATCCCAGCACTCAGGAGGCTGTGGCAGGAGGATCACTGAGAGTTTGAAACCAGCCTGGGATACAAAGTGAGCTCAAAACCAGCCTGAACAAGGGGCTGGGGATTTAGCTCAGTGGCATAAGCGCCTGCCTTGCAAGCAGGCAGTCGTAAACAATTAAGTAGATAAGATTGTTGATTCTTTGTGATAGTTCCTGTGAAATTGAGGCTTTGTTCATAAAGTCTATGTCTTTAAGAGCTTTATCTAGTCTATCTTCCAGGATTTAGTGTTTCTTTTATAATGTTTAGTCTTTTGATTCATTTTTATTTTAGTTTAGTACATGATGAGAGATATGGGTCTAGTTTTAATCTTTGGCATGTGGAAAGCCAGTTTTTCCAGCCCCATTTATTAAACAGGCTACCTTTCTTCCAGTGAAGGTATTTGGTTCTTTTGTGAAAGATAAAGTGGCTATACTGCCCCAGGAGCTGAAGGCACACGAGCTGATCCCTAGTGCACAGAGGAAGCTTTGGAACATTGGTCCCAGCTGGTAAGGCCCTGCCCAGCATCCTAAATTACCGGAGGACACACAGAAGGTCCCTGCGAGGACTAACTGGGCCACGCACAGCAACCTCCAAGTGGCTAGTAGTTGTCTGCATTCCGCCAGGAGCCAAAAGTGCAAGAGGTGATTCCCAGCACACAGGGAGGCTTTGGAACATTGCTCAAAACCCGGAAATACAAGAAAATGACAAAACAAAAGAGCAAGATGCAATCTCAAATGCCCAGCCCATCCCAAGCAGGGATAGGAGACGTAGAAGAAAAAGTAAGCCATACACTTGAAATTCCTGAAAAGATGAAGTGGCTGAGTAAGCCTGGGTTGTTTCTGCATCCTCTAATCTGTTGCATTGATCTTTGGGCCTGTAATTTTTGGGCAGTATCATCCTGTTTTTAATCA